ACTATTGTTAATATAACACATTCAATTGAACTAAACTATGCATGCCTATTTAAATATATTTACACATGGCTTGTGTATATATCGTATATATACATATATATTATTCATGCCTTTGGTGCATAGGATGCAAGCAGATTTTGACATCAAATTTTCGGATAAAAAAATGCGTCTTATACACCGAAAAATACAGTAGTTCATATTTGTGGGGTAAAGAATAGTAAGCTTTAAACCTTTAACAAAATCACTCACATTTATTTTTCTATAAAACTTCTATTCATAATTGAATATAATATGAAAAGTAATTTGTTGCAACATGTAATTTTAACCATTGCTGCAACATCTTTCAGTAAAAACCCTCTGTAATAGGCATTTATATAACAGTGGTTCAATAAATATACAAGTGTGATGTTAGCCTTTTTTTAACTATATAAAAAGTGTAGTATGACTAAATTAATTTTCATGTAAACATGTAGTAGATTAATCAATAAGCTTCAGTGATCTTTTTTTTTTTAATACTTAATTAACATTTCAGACCTTTCAGGCTAAACCTGTAAAATTGCATATTGTGTGCATCTAGTTTCAATGCCTATTCATTATTTGCTTGTTGTTATTATTATTTAATATTTTCTGTTTTCTTACCACTTACCTTTTGCTTTTCTATGTTTATGCAGATTTGATTTAATGTATTGTTGTTTTTGAAGTTTATGTTATATGTTTCTTATTAAAAGTATTTATTTAAATTACTTTTCTAGCACAAGAAACATTATGTTCAGATTTTCTCCTTTGTAACAGCTTTTGTTAAGTGAAGTGTAACCATTTTGATTAAAATAAATCTTGGATTAAGAACTGAAATGATATGTGTTTTATTTGAAATCATAAAGTGACTCCTTTTTTTTTATCTTCCTTTCATGCTTTGAAGAAGTGAGGGAATTTTCAGTGATATTAGATGCATTAAGTAACCTTAAAGATCCATTTAAACTAATTGTAAAATAACTAGTTTAAGTTGTAGTAAATTCTCCAAGTAGTATATTTATGCAACATAGGTCTTCTTTCTAATCGCGAATCTAATATTTTTCATTGCTCAGTAACTGCCTAGTGTTGAAATAAATACAGAATATCCTTTTTATAGTTAAAAAGCTGTTTCTATTTGAAGAATTATGTCTATCATTTAATTTAATTTTTATCTCCCCTCAAACAGAATATTGAACTTCCGCAGTTCTAGGATTATGTTGTTTTTTTAATGTGGCTTCCATATTTTTTATGCAGATCATGGGTATATTTTGTGACTACTCAAGGACTGGATAAACACTCCAAAGGAGATGCATAAAAATAGAATTTATCCTATTGTCATACTTTACTTCAGTTAAATCACATGCATCTAATTTACAGCCACATTTTTGAATAAAACAAGGATCACTTTTGGTGCCATTGCCTTTACATTCTCCTATTCATTTGATGAAAAAAGTCTTTTAAACTTAAAGAGCTATGCATTTGAAAATTATATGAAATAAGTTATTGTAAGATTATTTATATACAACGAATGTTTATAGATAAGTAACTCAAAATTTTATAAACCGTAACTTTTATTTCTTGGTTTATCATAAATATTTTTATCCTAATCTGACCACTTACTGGAAAATTATAAAGTGCAATTTATTTAAAATGATTGCAATTATTATTGAATTATCACTTTTATCTAAAGAATTTTTTAAACAGAGTTGTTTTTATTACTGATTTATAATCCAAACTTGCCTTTTTTAAAGAGCTCATCTTGTTTTTTGTTTCAATGATCATGTGTCATAAACAGTCACAAATGTGTATAGAGAGCTAAGTTGCCAATATTAGTTTTCACAGTAGTGATTTGATTAGGATTCAGACGTGAAGACTAGGATGAAACAAATCTGTGCTTACTATGAAATAGGCTTAGGTCATAAAATTACTGTGTTTTATTAAGCTCATACCATAAACAAACAAAAATAACATAGGATTTCTAGTGAGTTTTTGTATATATTTTATACAGAATCAGGTTTTGCAACTTAGAAAATTGCATGAAATTGTGTGCCAATAGTAAAACAGAAAAGAAGCCCATTTTTGAACAGTTTATTATATAAAGTGTTATCACTAAATATTAATTCTATTTGTAAAGTTCCATCATTAACGAAAAAAGAATAACAAAACTGTTGTTTTTCAGCAACCCATGGCCTTTTATTTGTTTATATATTTAACTTTCTGAAAGTATAAAGTATTTTGTTTTGAAAGGTAAAGAAGGAGGAATTAACCAGCTGTATTTAAGTAAAATTACTTATCTTTCTTATTTTGCCAAATATTGCTTTTGTTGTTAACAAGTGTTTATATATATATTCATATATATATATTAAGTAATAAAATATATAGATATATGACCATGACATAGAAATATTTTTTTATTTAATAATAATATAATATAATATTACAACCAATTCTGAAATTATCATCTACTCCGTATACACTTTCCAATCAAAACCAACTGGATCATTAATAACTTATTTTTTTTCATTGTCAACCTTGCATGACTATCTGATACTGATTTTTGCAGAATTTACTAATGTGCCAAATATTTTCATGATTTTAATTCCATTGTATAAGGTTAAAGTGTAAACATGAAAAATAATTATTTGTTCATTAAGTTTTATACTTGTAGCATTACTAATAAGATGAGACATGTTTCACAGTTTATATATTTTATATTTAGTGTTTTTGTTTCACTGATATGTGCCTGTAGAGAGGTGTATTACAGTTGTCCAAATTAGTTTTCATTGTAATGATTTTATTAGAATTTACACTTGAAGATTAGGATGAAAGAAATCTTTGCTTACATCTAGAGAGTGAAATAGGCTTAGGTCGTAACATTAGTATATTCCCTTTGTTAAGCTCGTATCATAAACACACAAAAAAAATTGCTTAAAACTTCTAGTGACTTTGTAGAGTAAGGTTTTGACAATATAAAAAAATTGTTGATGAGATGTGCCAAGAATAGGAGAAATGAGGCCCATTTTTGAACAGTTCGTTATACAAAATGTTGCATAAAGTAGTTCTGCCATTATTGCAGAAAGAATAAACAAGCCGTAGTTTCTTCAGCAAATCATGACCATTCATTTAAGTAGTTCTGCCATTATTGCAGAAAGAATAAACAAGCCGTAGTTTCTTCAGCAAATCATGATCATTCATTTAAGTAGTTCTGCCATTATTGCAGAAAGAATAAACAAGCGGTAGTTTCTTCAGCAAATCATGACCATTCATTTAAGTAGTTCTGCCATTATTGCAGAAAGAATAAACAAGCCGTAGTTTCTTCAGCAAATCATGACCATTCATTTAAGTAGTTCTGCCATTATTGCAGAAAGAATAAACAAGCCGTAGTTTCTTCAGCAAATCATGACCATTCATTTAAGTAGTTCTGCCATTATTGCAGAAAGAATAAACAAGCCGTAGTTTCTTC